GTATACTCTTGGAAGTCAAGCTTCCTCTGTGCAAGGTGCCGTGTGCCCCGTCACAAACACCATACAGAGAAACGTCAAATCCCAGTAGGCGCAGGTTGGCCTTCTGAAAGAGCTCGGTTCGTTTGTACATAATGGAGGTAGTGCCCGATGGGGTTTAGTAACGGAAGAAGCAACTCTCGCAATCAGAGGCGAACAATACACCTCAAATTTTGCTGGCTGTGTCCAGGTCTTTGTGAAGTCGCGAAAAGCATGATCGATTCAGTAGCGTCGTGCAATCACGTACGACGCATGACAATCGTAAACTGTCCACGGTACGCGATGGAGTTAGAGATGCCAAATACAGCTACCACATTCGTGCTTTGTTCAACGAAGACGCTGATAAAAGCGTCGAGGGTATGTTAGCGTGCTGAATGAAGTTCGAGGTTTTTAACAGTATCGATTATCGTCTAGTCTTGAACATGATTTCGAGATACCCCTCATCCTAGGTATGATGTGTCTGTACCGCCACGATCCTCGGGTCAACTGAAAAAATGCCAGGCACTGCTCTCTCGGTCTTGGTGTGCTTGTTAACGCGGAGTCGCTAAATTAAGCTTTCTGTTTGTAAGATCACGGCAACCTCGTTGCACGTGTCGCAATTGCAGTCAATCTCTCGACCGCGTCGCTACAGGACTGTATCCTCTGCGAAGCAGAACGCGTAGTACTTGATATATGTCTCCGGGACAACCCGACACGCTTCTCGAAGGTGCCAAAACACTGGCGGTTCAATGACCGCGTCGATAATTGCTCGCTCGAACGCTTTCACTAGTTACAATAATGCACTCGTCAGACACCTTCCGGAACGCTTTAATCGGGCATTGAGTGAAGCATATATGGCTCCCACCGTATGGCCGCTGATTTGCTGTCAAGCGCGACAAAAAGCTATCCTTTGAACGAGTACAGTTGATATGGCCATAAGGCCATGCTTTAGACGGCGCAAAAGCACTCTAAGCTTGCGGTCTCCAAGCGAGACAGAATGAACACTAACGTGCGGTCCCTATGTAGGAGAGATACTTCCAGCTTAAAAATATTTGAAGCGATACGTTCAAGCTACCTAATTAGGAGTATTGGGTGTGCCCCAAGTTGCTGTCAATTTGGCAAGAAAGGGACACTAACGGACGATGTCCCGGAGCGAAATGCGGTAATGGCTGCAATGATCGGACCCTCGTTTTTTAGCAGTAAAAGTTGCTTTCTTCTTGAATAATTGGCAGGTAAGTGTGGCTCGCATCGGAACTTACCGTGTCTACTTCATTTCTTTTGAGGAACCAATGGGGTGTCGCATGAATGCCGAGTCCTCTTTTTGTGCTACAAGGGCCGAAAAGTGAAGCTAAACGAGAGCGTCAGAATAATTTATGCTGAGGAGGAGTAGAAGTTTTTTGGCTGATCAGCAGATGTCTCATTTGTTATAGTATAAAACATCTACACCATGCGCACCCTCTTCACTCGTAGCAAACAAGTGCATAAGTCAATCTCTCATGCAAGAACATTCGGCAAGCGCTGAAAGGCCGAGTTCCAATAGGCACAGAGATCCCTGCTGTAAAAAAAACGGAGCTTTTGTATCTCGTGGTTGTTGAGGTCGAAAGGACCCGGCATTAAAGGAGCAATTTTTTCTAAGAGAGGCGAAACTCACAGCTCAGGGTTATTTGTTCTTAATACTAACATTTCGTGCTTTACGAAGCCCCGGAGCTCCTGATCGGCTCAGGAGCGTCGAACAATCAGGAAATACGTGTGACTATATAAACAATAGTAAATTCACAAAGGTATCACATATGTGCTGCAAAGAGGCTGTCGTGCAAGTTGTGCGTCAACAAATGCACGGATGTC